AAGGGTGGCACGACTCCTTTGAAGACGTGAGTTTCATTGTCGCTTCCCCCTAAAAACCATTAGATTTCATATGGATTAGAGCATAAGTACATTATTTATTGTGATTATAGAAATGTGTTTTTATGTGATTGTAGTTATTACATGTACAGCACTTTGGCCCGACCAAAAATCGCTTTTAAATGTGCTTTATAAATAAACCTTGATTTGATACATGAGTTTTTGAAGGTTACGTACACTGTGATCTACGGGCTTTATCTTTATGTTTGTAAACCCTTTTGTTCGCTGCTGAACACTTTGAAAACATGGATATATCCTTCAAACACATCATTTAGACTCTTCTATCTGTTTTTCTCGGGTTATCGAATGGTCAATTATACAGAGTGCACAGCTCCATTTAAAAAGTAGCAAAGGAAGACATGTCACAAAAGCAAAAACACTTCTTTGGCATTTGCTTTTAAGCAGCTACTTCTCTTTTCACAGGGTATAAATAAAAGCATTGAGTATTTTAGCCTTGCAGGGAAGATGCAGCAGTGTTAGGACAGAGTGTCTTTTAAATCTATTTGAAAAGGGTATTTGAGAGCCTTGTAAGCATCTGAACAAGCAGAGCTTCTTAAAGGGTCATACCGTTTTTTGATCTGTGCATTACAATGCAACACTGGATGACCTTTCTTCCCCCTCGCTTTCACTCTCAATTTCCTCACAGGCGCTGATGGAGAACGGCAATCTGAACTTTGTCAAACCCGCATGGATTTACGCAATCAATGAACGACAAAAGATTCTGCCCTATCAGCCCTACACCGTTGTCCCCTGAACAATACACTGTACGTACACACACAGATGAGCAGACACACTTACACTCAGTTCCCTGAACAATGGGGCAAAGGTTTTTCTTTCTTCTGATTTGCAGCTTCCTGAGAGACGAGCAATAAACAAACTACAGTTCATTAATGCTTTTACACTTTCTACTGGCCGTCATGAAACGGGTTCAACCCTGATGTTCCTTGCTTTCTGCTAAGATGGGAGAAGAATATTTTAAAATGTGGTGTGTAATGTTAGGATAAGGTTTAGATTCATTGTTAGCTTTTTAGTTCAAGGTTGTTAGTTTTAGCTTGGCCAGAAGGGAAAATCTTCTTCATCAGTGTCGTGTCAGGCGCTCTTTCTTTGTGGACAAAGCACACACACTCTGATTCCTCTGTTACTGTGATGCAGTTTGTTGCTGCTCACCTCAAGAACCTCAGACTCTCTGGAAATAAATTACCCCGCCGTCCTCACTGCCAGCAGCACTGATAACACTCTGACTTGGGTAAGCGGGGAGACCATTATGAAACCAGCAGTGAAAGTCAGGTGAAGAAAAGTGCCATTTTTCTATTGCTGCAGCTACCAAATGCAGAAATCAGGAAACAGTATTCTCCAACAATAAATAAATACTGGAGTTTGTTTTTCTCCTTTTATTTTATTAAAAGCCATGATTTGGAAAGTGATGGATTTCTCTGTGTCAATGCTTGATAATGCTTGAGTTTGTGATATGTTTTTTGAGTCATGTTCATGGAATGAATATTAGAAGAAATTGACAGATGTGAGGATGTAAAACAGACGTCAGTGTTTTGCGTCACTCGAGATTTCCTTAATGCTTCTTAAGACAAGAAGAAGAGTTGTCGAGCTTACCGTCTGCTTTTCCGAAGCAATTTAAGTCTCTTTAACTTGTTTTTGTTCTTATGCTACTTAATAATTTTGTCCAAATAAAAAAATAGGTTTTTAATGAAAGGTATTTCTCTCATAATTATTCATCTAACTGTCTTTGCACTTAGCTGCTCTCGTCCCTTCCTATTCCTCCCTCTCTGTGTCTGCAGCTCGAGAGGCACCCTCTGCTTCGCTCATCTTGAGACGCTTTCTCCTCTCTCTTCAATTTACTTCTCGTCCTGTTTTGTGCCCCGGAGCCACCAGGTCTTCTGCTCTTCAGTCAAGGGGATTAGAAAGCTGGAAAGTAGACGTGAGATGGGGAGAAGGGGGAGGGCTGCGGGGAGAGAGGCTGCAGGAAAGATGGAAAGGTTTGGATGCCTTTTTAGAGTAGCCAAAGATCAGACTGTTTTATTTTTCTTCTTGATAATTCACACACAGGAGAGAAATATGGGCTGCCTTGCACCTGGTGCTTCCCATTAAGAGGTAGAGTGCAAGGTCCAATCCATTTAGGACCTGAAGCAAGAGAATTTACAGCAGCTTACGGCATCATACTGACACAATGTCATATTTCATTTAAATGCATTTTGGTTGTAAAGATGGCAGAGAGGGTGGGCTGCTTTCAAATTGTCCCATTGTCCCATCTTATTCTTGTCAGCTTGATCACTTCCTGTCAGATTTATTCCTTGCTCATTGCATTTTTATGTCTCCTGTGAAATTCAGCATTGACCTTGGATGACCGCTAAGATAGCCGAACATTGTTTGACTTTGTAGTTTTAATCCCCATTATCACCGGCACCCTGTGTAAGTCAGTCAATTTTAATGTCAATCTTTCAATTTGTGTGTACAGAAGTTAGGTGTCTTACATGGATTGATGTTTTTTGATGTTTTAAACAAAATAAGATTTCAGTTCTTTAATCTTATATTCTCTCTTTCATCTCAGGATCTTCCTACAGTACTGACTCAGTGGTGGGGGGGTATTTTTCAAAGAAGTCAATTATATTTTATATTTCTAATTAAGATACTTTTCGTAGCATCTGTTTTCACTTAAGCTGTCAAAGGTCTTTTTCCTTGTGAATAAACTCCACATTAAATCTACTTTGATTGAATGTTTTGAGACAATGAAACGGGAACACTTCTAAAAGGGACTGCTAGGACTATGTTTCTCAGCTTTGATCTGATACCAAGTAAGCCAACACAAGATGTTCTCTTTACTCTGTCACCCAGCATTGTCATGATACTGCATAACTAAAAAAAGAAATTGAATTGTTATTCACACTGGATTTCAATGTAGTTAAGTATTAATGAATAGACTGACTAAATCAAGTTAAAGGTTAAAATTCGCCCCTGCAGAGTACAGATGCTCCTGCAAATTCAAATGAAGGAGACCTGATGGCACCAAGTTGCCCTATTATGCTCATTTTCAGGTTTCATAACTTTATGTAGTGCTTCTATTGTGAAATGTTACCATGCTTTAATCTTCAAAAAGGTCTTGATTTTTTGTACTGTGGCACCTCTTTTCACCCTCTGTCCGAAACCAGAGCCCAGTCTGCTTTGATTAGTTAGCTAGCAGGCTCTGTTGTGATTGGTCAACCGTAAGAGATGTCCCGCCCCTAAGCTAATCACATACAATTTGTTGGAGCGCTATAGCCAATAGGAGCGTGAATGTTACGTAGTGATGTCACTATGTTGCAGAAGTTAACAAAGGATAGGGATTGAGGCATAATACCGGGGGGTTGAGGGACTTTGGGATTTGTAGCGCTTGCAGACCATTCAAATGCACAAAAACCTATATAGCACGAAAGGGAAAACCCCCAAAAGCATATTAGCACCCCTTTTTAAAATAAAAAAACATTGTACAAAATCATGCAGTCTCCATGGAAATCAAAATGTTGGTATAAGAACAAAAATATTTCTATTAAAATATAAAAAAAGGTAACGGGATGTATTATGCAGAAAGACATTTCAGTTTAGCACAAAACATATTTTATTAATTGATGCATTAATATACACACCACTGTAAATCTGCAGCTGGTGACGGGGGTCAATTACCTACTTCATACTCCTGGGTAGTTTCATCTGTAATATCCCATCACTTATGTGTTGCACTTATACATGGGTTTTAAATAATGTGTGTTCTCAATCAAAGCGATAAGAAGTTGTCTTAATCAGTAAATATTGTTTATGTAGTCGTGCTGACCTGCAGATAATTCTCAGCAACTTCTTAGACCAATGCTTTGCTCTCATGTTGAATATCTTTTCTTTTTTCTTTTCTAAATCAGTTTCTTATTTTTCTATCTGCTTTTCCCTTTGGCCCCAGCTATCAGTAATGGTTAGCATCGCCAGCTTGCAGGACTATGCCACTGAGATTTCTTTTTGATTTATTGCAAGTACTGACAGCTTTGACAATCTCATTGCCTGGTGTCTTGAAATCAGATTTGCCACATGGACTCATTGTAGGCTATAACATCTCTGGAGCCTATCTTTTTATTTTAGATGTTGCTATTACAGGAATTACCATCGCAGTAAATGAAAAAACGAATAACACATTTCAGAAAATTGCATCAGAGCCTTAATATCAGGCATGGGTTCTACATACTGAAGATACTCTGCTTATTGCTTTCTATTAAAGTGAACTTGCTAATGAAATGTAATCAAACTATTAAAACTGCATTAAATACATTGTGTGTAAATGAGGAGAAGTTAAGTTTGATTTATTTTCAGGGAAATCCTCCCATCATAATGGCAATAGTCACGTTTTTAGCTTAAGCCTATATGAAGTAAATGGAAGTAATCTGTTTCCACTTTAACTTCAGAGGTAGAGGTTTTTTAGCCATATTGTTAGGCTGTGTCATGTTTTTGGAAAATGTTGATATAATTCCTGTTTCTTTTTTCTCTGTTTAAATGTTTTGAGTATTTTATTTTATTGTAAAGTGTGGGTTTTTGCATTTTGGTAGAGATTTGACTAGAGAGGAGTCTATTAATAATCTTACTCTCCCCGATGTAAATATGTCGAACCGTTCATTTTGTGCATAGCCTATGTCCCATACGTGAAATATAACTGGCTCCATCACAGCCAATAGCGTAGCAGTATTTCTTCTTCGACGATGATTTCTTCTTCTCCAAGTATAAACAACAGAAACTGCGCGAAACCAACCTCCTTTAATCTTCTCCAACTATCTCCATCCTCCTCCTCGTGCGAGCCTCTCGCGCTGGACACCGCGAGTAGGGAAACCGTCTGACTGCGGGGACTTAACGAGTGCGTACTGTATGTGTGTGTGCCCAAGTGTGTGTGTGTGTGTGGACCGTTCACAGACGTCCAGCCCGAGGTCAAGGTGGGAGATTCGGCAGTAAATTGCGAGATGGGAGGCAGCAGCCTGACAGACACCGGTGTTGTTCCTGAGAGGACCTGGATGTGAGCAGCTCTACCGGGAAAGGGTAAGTGTTTCAAACGCTTAAAAAAAAAATAGAGGTTGAAAATGCAGAGTGTAATTGCTATGTGGGACTTCTGTTAAGTCTATTTAGAGATAAACTCGTAGGTAATGTTCAGTCTGTAAGGGGACTTGTTGCTGTGACTTTGACGCGTTTTAATGAGGGGGTTTGTTGTGCTTTTGGAAGAATTGAGAAGTTTCTGTTGGTGCAAAACAAAACATGGCAGTGTTAATGACCGTGTGTTTGAAAAATGAGTTCTTTGTGAAATGGAAAATACATTATACGATTTAAAAACTACAATAATTTCGAAATATGGCCACTCAAACCAGGTCTTAGGCCATAGGAAAAACACAGAAGCAGATGATTTCAGATGACAATATATGATTTTTAGTTAACTAAACATGTCAATGACAAATAATAGACCTATATCTAAAATGTACAACTAGTGTATAACAGATGTCACTAACATATTGTTGGTTTATGGCTCAAACCAACAATAGCTGATAACCAAAACATAATTCCTATACAATAAAACCATGGATAAAAACAACATTAACCTATATTCTGTGTTATTATTGCTTTTTTTCAAGATAAATCGGTAGCATATGCATAAAAAAGGGATAGACTGAGGTGAAGTAAAGGAGCACAGCTTGTTTAGCTTAAATACTGTATGTGACTAAAATGTGTTAAGGTGACTGTGAATGATTAATATTTCACATTTAACAAAACTTCAAGCTAAGTTAATTCACCTCTGACACTTAAATTCATTGAAAGTTCCAATGTCCTTATTATGTCCTTATAATTCCCCTTAATCTGATGATGTTTCTGTGGAGATATTCCAGATGGTAGTTATTCCGTCATGCACAAAAGTCGCCTATGCTCTTTTACAGATTTCCAATAAAACATTTTAATTAAAGGATGGTCTACATCACATAGTTGTCCTCTAGGCTCCATCGTAATGATGCAGTGAAATCATCTTGCCTCCATTCTGGTCAAAGAAACTCATGGTTTAATGAAGTTTCTCATTTGTGATACCCTCTGGTGTCCAAAGGGCTGCAAAGTTTGGCTTGGAAGATTTCTTTAAGGTAATGAAGCTCAGTTAAATAAAACATATTGAAATTCAATGGACTGAAATGTGAGATATAAAAGAGCAGAATGAACCTATTTGACAATTAGACATGTGGTTAAGTGTGCAAATAACAGCCAGCCCATATAATGACATTTAAATGTTTTTCTACCATCTGTTACGAGACAAATTCTTACTTCAAGTACTAATTTAAAACCTAAACACACTATTTGTGCTGTTATCCACCTGTTTTCACACACCACTGAAGCACTTTAGAGCCTTAACAGTTGTGTGTTATTTAAATTCCTGTGGTGATTTAATTTCAAATCTGCGCACATCACTTGGAACTGACTTCCAAAAACTGCAGTCTCTCATTTAAAAAAAAAAAAGATGGAGGAGATGCAAAAATTGCTTCTTGAATAAAATATGTTTGGGGTAGGTTTGAAGCGTCGCCTCCGGGTGGAGTACTCTCCATGTGTGACTTGGTGATCAAATGATTCCCTCAATATATTCTATTAATCATCCAATCAGGAAGATGTTACAGTGCTTTTTGTTTAACAAGTTATTCAAAGAGAGGGCATTTATCATATCACAGAGTGGATCCTCACATCCTCTTTGTGTTCCTCTGCGTCTATTCTCATCTCTTTTATCGTTTCGGTGGCAGATCACTTTCCCTAGGAGGGGTTTAGATGGAGCTAAATGGTTATTGTGAGTCTCAATATCTAGCCTGCACTGTTAACGATAAAGCAAGAAGAATCCACTGTCTCTTTATTTGACGCATGGTACCCTGTGTTTAATTATGTGAAGGTGTGACTTTTTCTTTTACTCTCCCCCTTGTCCCCCACTAATTACTGTAGGTGTAGGGCCGTGCGATTATGGCAAAAATCATAATCACGATTATTTTTGGTCAATATTGATATCACGATTATTAAATACGATTATTCATTGACTTTGAAAACATCCATTTATTGAACTTTAAAACAAATACAAATAATAATTTGGACAGTATATTTTTAACTGTTGATTACCCTGAACGTATAATTCAACTGAAAAACTTTAAATAAATAATATCAAAATAATAAATACCAATAAACAAGATCAACAAATATTTTGGAGCGCACTTCAACAAGCTACTAATCATATAAATATGATAAATAAAAATAAATTAGACCAAAAATAAATGAGATCAAATATGTTGCAGTGTCACAACCTAGCAAAGCAAAATAATCGTTTTTTTCGATTATGTTGTTTTCGTAATTGTGGCAGGCCAAATCGTAATTGCGATTAAAATACGATTAATTGCACAGCCCTATGTAGGTGTAGAATGAGGTATCACAAATCACCCTTTTCATTATAAGTGATGCCATGGCTCTGCACAGGCTGCTGATTTACTGTGTATTACTAGCCATACGAAGACATTACTGTCGTTCATTGCTTGATTGATTGCTCCAAATAGAGGTGCGTTGGCATTTTTTGGGCAAAATAAAAAACAAACTTGTGATCCCTTGTGTATTCCCTATCTTGTGTAACTTGACGTACACAGCCCTGCAATTTTATTTCTCTTCAAAAGTCACTGGCTGATTGTTAAAAACGGGCGAAAACGGGAACATAAGGCGTTCTGGGAGTGATAGAGAGTAGAAACGAGGGTTGAGAAGTGTGAGACAACTGTGAATAATTTCTGCCCCAAACTCTGCAGAGAGCTGATTATACTGCAGCCAAACATCCACATCATTCCCACTGGCTGCGACTCATTCCTGGCGCTCAGTAAAAAGAAATTAAAGATTTATCGCTGGCCAGCCTGAGTGGAGCGGGGGTAACATTTGTAGGAGTCTTGTGTTATTTATTTTTTCAAGTTAGTTGGGGGGCAGATGAGGCCAAGGATGTAATAGACCTGTCAAGAGTCTCCGGAGGAGCTACAGAAGAGGAGAAACAGGAGATTAGACTGGGGGAGGAGGAGATAAGAGGAATATATGGACCAATGAAGGCTTGTCGATGTTATTGAAGGGAGAATAAGAGGAGAAAGGGCATCAGACAACACGGCTTATAGGACGGAGAGGTCCGCTCATAATGAACAAACTAGGATAGGGTACTGAAGTGTGATAACATAAAAAGAGATTAGAAATATTACAGGAAATAAGATAATATACTTTTTTTATTAATAAAACACAACACATGACATCAATATCTAATTCAGCGTCATACACTGAAAAGACTGAAACGTTGACTTTAATTAAATGTATTTATGTAATTATGTTAGTTGAAAGCAATAATATTAACTTGATTGATTGTTTTATTTTTGTATTTAAACCTGATATTATTGCTTTCAACTAACCTACAGTAATACAGTTTTGTGAAATCTGTTGACATTATACATTTAATTAAAGTCAACGTTTCAGGTTTTTTTCAGTGTAGTTTAGGATTTATGTTTTTGCACCATATTGTGTTTAATTGACTGAATATATTACGTTTGTTTTGGCCAGGAGTGCACGACATGGTTATTAAAGTTGTTCCTGTTAGACCATACATGCATTTTTAAACGTGTGATAGAATAATGGATGACGGACCAGAGGCACAGCCTGAGGCATAGTGTTGACAGATGAAGTTGAGATGGGTTAATTGACAGTTGCATCAGCTATTTGTCTGAAGGCAGAGGTCATAACGTGAAGAGCAAAACAACACAAAGAGAAATAACTACTGCAGTGACAATAAGTGTTGATATACAGAATGAGTATTTTAAGATTTCTTTAATTCAAAATGAGTAGAAGTATATTTTTGTAGCTTTTATGTTTCATTTTTGTTTTATGTCAAAAAAAAATCCCCTCTTCTGGTTTATTCTGAATAATTAGAATATAAACTCGCTTCTCTAACTGCATTGCCTTTCTCAGACAGACTGTGTTTCTCTTTGTGAATTCCTGAGCAATGTTACGTCTCTCCTTAGCTCACACTCAAATGAGACTTTGCTCCTTTCATAATGAATGTGAATCTGTGCAAACCAAATGAAGGTTCTAGTGACCGGCAGCATCAAAGGAGTAGCATCAAAAAAGCAGCTTTATTTACTTTCTGTAGCTCAGAAAATATCTGGGCTATGGCTCACTTTGCTCCCTTTTGTTCGGGTAAAACCATGTTGCTCACCTTTAAAAAAAGGAGCTTTGAAATGCAGATGAAATACTGTGGACGGGGTCCTTTAATTTAACACATTCAAAATGAATTTCATATTACACAGCTTAGTTGAATATTCATTGATTGTGATTGGTCAATTTGGACATTCCAGTAGTCTGCTATTTTTTGCTGGCATACCACTGCTATGGAGGACGCTCTGATCAAGGGTACTTTCAATATAACTTTATATTTCGAAAAGCACAAAACTTCAGATTCACAATGGCTCAAATATCCCCAATAAAGGGAATAAAAAGGACGTAAGAGAAGGTAAAGAGCAGAGCACTGGACGTCAGAGAAGTCAACAGAAGACAGACAGGAAGTAAACATTAACGGGAAAGCAGTGTTGGCTCAGGCAACGTTTAAAAGACTGGTTAATGGAAAAGAAAATGTGAAGAGACTTGGACAGTTATTGGATGGAAAACCTCGATCAGTGCCGCCGTCATTTAAAGGCTCGCTGCTGCAGCTCCAGCCGCCACACAGCAGAACAGACCATTTTTTCTGAGCTGAAGCAAAACCGTCCTTTTTAAATCAATAAAATGAATCTGAAATCAATATTACGGGTCAAGTCACTGGTTTATTTAGTAGCTGTGTAGTAAGCAGGATAATGTGCAGCTTTCTTATGTACAAATTGAGTTTCAATACGTTTGGTTGGATTGGGAAACTGAAACTACGATTAAGGTTAGCTTTCAGGAGCACAACGTTTCATTGTTACTGAAAATAATTGGAGAAGTTTCCAACCCAGCCACCATCATCTGACTCTCCACCACATTACCTTACTGAG